GACAAATATTTCAAACATCACGAAGCCCTTAGTGGGTTAATTGTGTTGCACTGCATATCCGAAGATTCAAGAATCGAGCCACGATCTGTCGACTAATATGTCCCGACTTGTAGTTCTTGGGTAGTTATAATCTTGGCATTAAATCTCACTATTCATTTGAGTGGATGCTGCTAAGTGATAGCCTTCCCTCTAACAGTTCTGAATTAGGGCTACGCTTGGATCTTGAGGTCTCTGACCTGACTGTTTAGACATGTGTTGTTTTCGGGTACAAAATACCGAAAAACAAATTAACTGTAAAATGTTTCTATGTATATTTTGTTAACTTTCATTCATTATGCCATTCAAGAGAGATTTAACATTCTCAGATCTTAAGACAACTACTGCTTTAATTGTTTAAGTCAATATATATGTACATATATGTATATTGGAAATAGCTATGGAAAGAGTGAGTGGAATGGGTATAAAATGCAAACATTATGGAATTGATCCACTCTACTGTACGAAAATGACACTGCCACATCAGTATAATGCCCCAAAAATACAGACAGAAAACTATTCACAGCACTAGTGTGCTAATGAACACATCGTTGCCAGTACAGAAAGGCCACATGACAAACGTGTAAATATTCATGAAACTGACTAAGGCGAAATTTAATTTCAGTAGGAACTGTAAGAAACCCCGGAGAGGGTATGTGATAACAAAAGCTGTATATGTAGAAAACATTATCTCTTAAAATTGATGTTCAGTAACTCAAAGTATGCTCTTTACAAGATATACAACAATCCAGTAGAGACCTTGCCAATGACCTAGTTGTATGTATATAACAGTAAAGAAATAAGCCTTAACTTAAAAACGAGAAGTACTGCTCTGGTTAAAGGGAATACAAAATACTAGTGCACTAAAGAACTTATTTGCTTTCCTCTTGTATTTCCTATAATGATGTATTGTATTAATAATAAATTAACCATTTAGTTGCTGTTACTCGCCGTTTGTAAATCCTATATACATGTATCATCTTTGCGTTTCCATAACTATTTCCAGTACTTTTCGAGGAAAGTGTTTCATCTTTTGAGGCTTTACACCTAGCTACACCACATTACACCACTACAAGTCAAATATGTTACTCAATAGATGGTGCAGAAATATAAGAATGTCAAGCTTAGGAGCAACAGTAATGCATATAAGATTTTCTAATCTTATTTAAGTTTTTAAACACACATAACGAGTCTTTTTTTTTTATCAGAAACGTGTGACATTTAATCTAATTTGGACTCGTTTTCACAATGGTACATTTTATAGAGAACCCTCAACATTAACGATTAATAATATTAACAAATAGAGATGAGACAAGCTAATTATCGTTTTAACTGACAGGATATCTGGAATAGCGTGGAATTTGTATAGTTTAGTTAATTATTTGTTGCTCTATTATCAAGGAACATTTTAAAGCTGTTATGATAAAATTATATACAATAGATTTTGAAGCAGTAACTGGTGATGAATGACAGTAAATTTATTTTTAATACAATGTTTGCATCAATGAACAATTTCCCAACACTATCTTTTAGGGAAAAGGCTGAAGGGTTAACTGTAAATATGGATACAAGAGATAAGATGAACAGAAGCTGATAATTAAGTCTTGTTAGAACGAGTAATTAGTAGAACGTGTTGCAACAAACTATTTCATTTTAAGTATATGAGATACCATGTTCGTTTTGCTCTTTTTTTAGGCAGTACTTAAAAGACTCAAATATATTTTATATAATATTCATTCCTTAATATTTTCTTTTCTGAATAAGTAAATACCGAAACTCCAATATGAGTAGGAGACCATATCTTGGAACCATCACCCAAGGGGGAGTTAGTAAAATACACTTAAATTCAACACGTAAGTTATAAGTTACTAAACCACAGTAACAGAAGGTTCAATAGATTCATAACGGTTATAATTAAGTTCGATTTGACCAAAATTGAAAGTTAGTGGCAGATGATTGTTTCACAATAATAAAGAAAAAACCTTAATAATAAATCTCAGTTGGCACAGACGTTTGCTGGTCATAAACGCTGATTAAGACAAAAGTCTTAACATCATTCTCTTTTCTCTTTACAATTGGCTTACTATACTGGATACTGGTGAAGAAGACATCCTTCGAACACCAGGCAAATTGTGACAAAAACTAGCTCTGATTGGATCTATATTACAATTCTAAGTTCCATTAAGACTTCACATAGTGTCTTTCTTGTCAGCAGTCGAACCCCAATAAGAGAAAGGTATAACTGGAAATATTTGAAATGTTTATTTATACGGGATGAAGCATAAATAGACCACTTTTAAAAATCATATAGAATTGCTAAAACCTACTTTTTTTGGTCGAACTGCAACTCCTAATGATGGAAATACTGTAGCACCACCTTCTTCGACATCTGTCAACTATAATATATATATATATACATAAACAATTGTAAAGATATTTACATACAATCTAACACTCTGATAAAGAAGTACTGATATCGAACATAGATGTACTATCTTTCATTTATACGTTAAAACTAATGTAACTGTTTCGCTTTATATATATTACAGGTAAAAGTGGAGAAACACAAATAAAGGACTTTTTTAACAACCATCTGTTTTTGAGTGAATGAAAACCACCTATAAGGTTTAGTAATTAGACGTTAGAAAAAAAAAGTGAAGTATTCTTAGTTTGTAACTACGATTTGATCTCACATTAATGAACTTCTGATTATAGAAATGAATGATTATTCACATAAAATTTAAGTAGATCAATATTTACATCTCATCTAAAAACAAACTTGAACCATCTATGATTTAATACTTATGACAATATAATGAACATATTTATATACAGATGAATTTTAATAACAAAAAAGTTTAGTTTTGGATACAACAACAACTTCAATACAAATGGTGGTAATTTGTTTGATGTTATAAATAATCGTACATTCATACTTATACAGTTTTAGCTATGTTCAAACTGGAGAAAATGGTATTTTAGATTTAATTATTATGTCGAAAATATATAATTGTGAAGTAGGTGAAGTGATTGACAGCGATCACTGAACTAGTTTCATTTTTTGACAATAATTTTGATAACAATAATAATGCTAAAGGTAATAGAAGTTACTATAAAAAATTATAAATCTGATAGATTTCCTTAACTATAAGGAAAGATGATTTAGCACAATATATTATTATTTATGCCCTTATTGAAAAGGTGCTAATGTTATTTTATCCAGTTACAGAAAATATTACAATGAAAACAGAGAATGTCATTAAAGACAAATGAATGGAAGAAGATTTTACATGACATCTCATAATAATTTCTTTAAACATCAATTACAAAACCAAATTCAATTGATTTTTTATAAGGAAAAAACAAATACAGTAATCAAAAATATATAAAAACTATAAGAAAAAAACTGATAACTTGTAATATGGTTGATTAAGAGAAAGAAAAATTGTGAAGAAATCATCTAGAGAAAATAAGTAAAAATGCATTCTGTCTAAATAACATTATAAATTATACCATAATATTAAAAATTAAAAACCACAAACAACAATACATACAAAGTACTAAATTAAATAATACAAATATTTTTGAAAACAATCATAATAATTAAAATATTAAAACACATTACCAGGTATAATGATCAATTCTTATATACATTTTTACTATTTTAGCTAAGTTAATTTTGTTAATAGAACACAATATCGTGTGTAGCAGTTAGTGAAAGCCTAAGGAAAAGGAACAAACTGTCAGTAGTTTTTATATTATTGAATTTCTAGACATTTGTGCATCCTCTTCAGTCTCACATTGTACTGTGAGACTGAAGAGAATACTCGAATGTGTCGTAACTAGTTTCTTTAATACAAAATCTTATATTTAAAATCTTATTTATTGAGCTTTTAATTCTTTTATATGCATTTTGAATTGTTATTGTAATACTTAAAATCATACTAATATTTCTACATATCAACAGTTAAATAAATGAAAAATATCCTTCTAACTGCAAGATGATTAGTTTGGTTACTTGCATTAGTTATAATGGACTAATTAACTATATTTAATTAATGTCACTCCTACTATAAAAAATCGGACATCTGACCACCAGCCAGACTTCCTGAAAATGTATTTTACAAATTTTACAAAAAAATACATATACCCGTTTTATCAAATATAAAAAAGGCATACAAAGTAGCACGAAGTTTTACTTTACGAATCTCTACAGAATATCAATTTAGTTATTTACTTTACATCATTGCACATTAAGACCTATAACTAACTAATTGAAAATGAAAGGATAAAATATGTAAAAAATAATAATATTTAACTGAGAGTATAATATTTATGAAAATTAAAATAACATAAATATGAATGTTACACTGTCTTGCCACTTAATTATGACCTCCTCCACTTATTATCATGGTTAATATATATACAAAACTGTAAGTATATTTACATACACTTTACTCCTCTAACAGTGAGAAGTACTGACATTGAATATTGGTTTATTTTGTTGATCTAACTGCACAATAGCTTATTTTCTTAAAACATGTAGTCAGAGAATTTTCAATTATAATATAGACCTTGAAATAACCAAGATCTAGAAGAGATGATTTTTGTTGTTGCTTATAGAGGGAATTACTACTTAGTTAGGCTAAGGTGAACGATAAATCCTTTTTAGGTTTCCAATATATCTTTGTTTTAAGTGTTGTCTTACTAATGAGTTCAATCTCTCAATGCTAGGCTTACTAAAATTGGAAATAGAAATTCATAATTTATTTCATCAACAGAGGTATTATTCAAGGAAAGCTTCTTCTTTCCTGTTACGGTTTTTTGTTTTTATTTTGAGTATTGTTTTTTGGAATGGCATTCATGAGTGCAATATTCTTTAAAAAATGACACTGATGTGTTTATAAGTACAATATAATGCATATTATGAAAAACATTTTATTTGCCTCTTTAATGAGCAGAACAAAAACACTCATCTCTTACTATCATATTTACACACACCATGGAATATAATTTTTTAACGAGATCACTTTACTTATATGTATATATACAGAGAACTTATTTATCATAAGTTTCTATAACCACCTATTCTAACTAATATTTTAAATTATATCCAATCACCACTACTTTACTGTAAATGTTAAAATTATTTTTCAGTTATTTGAAAATTACATAAATATACTTCTATCATCATTAAACAATGAAAACAAAATAGAACAGTTGCAAAAGGCAATAAAACTCAAGTAAAATAAATACATTAAAGTTTGCTTAATTTTTTGGAAGACTTTAAACTTATAAAACTATTCTCTGGTACAAAAAAAACTTCATAATTATTAATGTTTTTAGAAAGGGTATGTATGATTGAAAAATTGCATTTTGATTTCATCATAGACACATTTTTGTCACTTACATAAATCATGAAAGTAGCAATTCTCTGACCAATAAATTCTTCTAACTTGCTGATCTGGAAATAAACGAAAGTTGGTTATTTAGTCAAGCATTACATCATTCGCTATCACAACATCAAGAATAGATGAGCTTTTTGAATGTCTTTAAGTAATAGTTTGTTTGGTTTTTGTTAGACAGAAAACTACACAATGGCTATTTTTACTCTTCCCAACCCCGCTATCGAAATCCGATTTTTAGCGACTTATCGGTAAGATATCAGAAACACGAATTAGTTACGACAAAAATTCATAGTGATTTGTTGTTGTTGTTAAACCCAAAGGTAAATAATAACTTATCTGTATTGTGCCCACCACGTGTATCCAAACCCGGTTTTTACTGTTATAAGCCTTCAGACTTAACCTCTTACCACTAAGAGTTTAATACGTAGTAAATGAAACAAAGTACTTTCCAAAACAAGAAATAAAATAAATTTAAACTTACAGTAGAATATCCTTGTAACCTAGTGAGGTAATTTTAAAACAAGACTCTCAATCAAGAAGACTCCAAGTAACTAGCACGCATTTAAAATATTTCGTTTTTAGAATAGGAAAAAAAACAATTTATTTGGTACATTCGGCAGGCTCATCCTTCATTGGTTTTGTAATACTATATGTAAATATCAATACAGAGACAAATAGTACTGCACGACCTACTAAGATGATGGTTGCTACTAAAAGGATGGCAATAAATTCGTAATTTCAGTACTTATTGCATTATGATCTTAAAAAGAAAGAAAGAAATGACAGTATATTCTATCTATATAAAACACGTCAATATGTTGTGTGTATCTGTTCCTCATATATTTCCACATTTCTTGATCAATCAACAATAAACTTGACATAGCGATTAAAAAAATGACATGAGGTAGGTCACTGGGGTAAGGAGTTGGACCCCCCCCCCCATTTAATTCGGAAAAACCACGAATACTGTATATCCCTCAGCATTAGAATGAACTATGTAACTACTGTTGTTAGAATTCTTGAAAACAGTACGTCTTTCTTTTCAGTGTTGATACCTTTATGCATTTTTATTGTACTTTTAATGTTTATTATGTTAAGAAAAAAAAACAGAAAGACAATTTCCTATCCAGCTGCCCCCAGTGGCACAGCGGTATGGCTGCGGACTTATAACGCTAGAAACCGGGTTTAGATACCCGTGGTGGGCAGAGCACAGATGGCCCATTGTGTAGCTTTGTGCTTAATTCCAAACAAACATTGTTCCTATCCAGCTAGTTAGCTATATTTATTACCATGTTAATTTCTACTTTTTATCTTAACAGGTAGCTTTCTTTGATCGGAAGTTAATATTAACTAGCCGAATGGCCGTAATATGACTGTAAATTCTGATTAATATTTTTTCTGAAAATTAAATCTAAATAAATGTTTCATGAACATGTTTTCTAAAAATAACTTATATTATAGTAACAATATATGTATAAAGAATGTTTATCCTTTTTCTAGTGTTACACGAAAACAGCATTTTGGTCATCTTCTGTAAGTGGTCCTTGATTAGAATTTTGACTTGTGTATACTTTTATGTTATGTTCAAATCTGCTTCTTCATAATACCTTATACATTAGATTGAACCACGCGAAAAACTAGTCGAAGAAATATTCAGACATGGTCAGAAGTCTGGCCCTGCGATCTATTAATTGTGTTGACAAAGGCAAAAAATTTGAAGTTGAAGGGAAAATGCATGAAGGTTATAACTTCTTATAAAACATGCTTATAACATTTTTGACTAAATTTTTAAAAATCTCTTACTTAAGTTAAAAAACATCAATATTAAAAAATTAACATAAAATCTCTACTTGATTGTGATTTGAACACGAGGCTTCCACATAATAGTTCAGCGTTATAACCACTATGACACCCAGTCTTTATAAGTGGATGTTAACAAATAATTCAAAACCCTAATTTAAACTACCACGTTATTATGATTTTTCTTTAAAGTGATGAATTAACAATTTAAAGTTATAACAAATCCCCATCTGACTGGTATTTGAAAGCGAGACTTTCTTGTGAGACCAACCATTGAGCCAATTTGAGCGTTACCAACAAAGCAGGCATTACGAACAGAGAATGGCTTTTATATGTATATATATATAAGGAGCTAAATCATTAACACTTATTATTGTTTCTTTTTTACTTACTTATACGTTCCTTTGCTCAACATGCTTGAAGAACGGAATTCTGACTAAAATTATCATTTGTGAAATTAAATATTGTATTATTAAAATACGAAAGGTTGTTGTTTTTTTTATTGTTTTTAATTATGCACAAAGCTACACAAGGGCTATCTGTGCTCTGCCCACCACGGGTATCGAAACCCGGATTCTAGCGTTGTAAGTCCGCAGACATGCCGCTGTGCCACTGGGGGGCAAATACGAAAGGAACTTAAATGTCACAAAACTGTAGTAATAAACTCATTTTTTTTGTTCTATGAATTCTTATTATCCATTTTTAACCAGTGCTGAATGGTAAAGCAATGATAATATTCTAAGATAACCAAGTTGGTGAAACATCGATAAACATTTGTAAAAATATTAGCATAATTCCTATCAATTTTGATATTAAATCTAGAATTTTCTAATATATATCAATATTATCTTGTTAATAACGATTTAGCAAATGAAATGCAAAAGAGACAAATTTGTAAAAAAAATAGTTAAAACATTTAAAAGGATTAATTTTACTTATTCCTTATGTCAAGTAAATAAGGAAATAAATAAATGGTTTATATGCTGTATTTATATGTATGCTAAATTATTTTCTTAAAAACACGTACTCTGGAATTTTCAATTATGATATGGCTTTTAAGAGCACCAAGTTACAGTAGGGATTATTTCTATGGTTGCTTATATATTAACAGGCAGATAAATTCGTGTCATAATATGAGAGCCCACTCGTTTCATTTGTAACTTGGCCTCCCTAGTTTTGTTTACTTTCTATCTTAACTGAAGTTTCAAACAAAGTAGTCTTTTGAAACCCTTACCTGCCTGGTTGAGTTTGTCATCAAGTGAAAATCAAAATGAGTTACGTAATGCCCTCCAAGACCATAGTTTGATACCTGAAGACACAAAAGAATAAAAATGAAGCTGTTTGAACCATATGTAAACACAACTATGATCTGGTATCTTTCCTGCAGAACGTTTTATTTCATGTCAATGTATCGTTTTTACCAGAACGTTTTCCGACAATGGATGGTGGTCTATGGTTGCTACTATTTTTATATTTGTATTCATCAGTGAAACAAACACACAATGTAAAGGGTCCTTCACAATTTTCACGAGCGTAAAAACGTTTACAAAAGGCTTTCATTAACTGCATAATATCTGATTTAAAAAATATGCTGGAATCATAACTATTTCGTTCAGGCATTTACTACAATATCTTAAAACAAACTTAAAATCAGATATTAATATAGTGACTGATCTATTGATCCATTCATTTGAAAATACAAAAACTACTAGTCAAAAAGTTGCAAAAACAAAATCAAAATTAGTTAAATGTACGTTTGTTTATTAAAGAGACAATTGTACGATTCAAAATTCAAGTTTATACCAGTAAGCCAAGGTATTTAGTTACATATAAAACGTGTTAACTTCTGAGTTTATCCTATTGAATATCACAAATTTATACTATATTATCTACAGTGAAAGTAGAAAAGATTACCATATTAGACCCCAGCTAACCACGTTACTTGATGACACCACGCTTTATATTATTCACTGATTTTATTATACGAATAGCTAAGAAGAATATTTCGCAGCAAAGGACAGAATGACTTTCTTTAGTCACATGACCAGTGGCTTTGGAGTAGTTCAACGTGTGCCACCAGAGGGTGCTATCAATTATCCTCTAACAGCAGAGGGTAAAAAGATAATGTCTCTGTAGTGTTAGATATTGTCAGCAGAAAATCTAACAAACTGATTTCATTACAAGTATGGTCATTATGTGTGATATCTTAGAGGATAATCATATGACCCGTATTCTGAATTTATAATGTTTTGTGATAATTATATATAATGATTAACTTAGTTTTATTTAATAGTTTTTTGTTTATATTTTACTTAAGTACACGTCCATGAATTTTTCGTGTCAGTAACTTGATCTGAGATAACTATGGTGATAGTAAGACACTCTATTACACTTTGGCTTGACCACTACGACGAGATAATGTAAACATTTTGTTTTTCCTAAAGTAACTCTCTCGATTACATCAGTGACATTACAGGATCTCTAAAAATTATAATATTTTTAAACTATTATTATTTTTATATTTGTGTTTATCAGTTAAACAAACCCATCATGAAAAGGATAGTTTACAATTTTCGAACGTGCAAAACGTATACTCGGGAGGAAGACGGGAGAAGCTTGTGCAAAAAAACAAAATGTCTAAAGGATGTCATTTGTTAACAATAAATAACTTTTACAACGACTTTGATTTTTTAGACCCAAACATCTCTTTTTTTTTGTTTCCCAATACCGTATTTATAATAACTAATATCCGATAATATCTCATTAAAAACTTTTCACCTTATGCACACGCTTTCATAGGAAAGATGGAGGTAAAAAAAAAAGCAAACTTTTTGTGTGCTCGTGAAAATTACCAAAACATTGAACGAACCCTAAACCCAAATAGTTCTTTCCTACGTCCAAAGACACTATTAGTACAACTTGTTTACCTCGATATTCAAGTATGTTAATTTACAGGTACTGACTATATTGTATGTCTACTATCAATGTTTTTCTTTTAAGTATAAAATTCACAGTTATTAGAGCTACATGCGGTCTGTTGAATGCATGTTCTAACTGTATGCTTATTTATCAAAATGCATTGCTTTCCTTCATGGTCATGATTCCGAGCTTACTGTTTAAATTATTCTTACACATATCTTTACAACGATATTGAATAAATAACCTGTTTAATCTCTTTATAGGTACTTTATCAAATTATTTGAAATCAACAATTTTCAACCTGAACGGCATATTATGCGTGTGGTACAGTTGGTAGTAGGGTGCTTTTTTAACACATTAAACTACCACGTGCAACGTAGACTAAATGGCCAAGTCAGAGACCCATATGATTCAAAAAAAGTAGTCCCGAATTCTGAACTACCCTAGAGAGAAAACAAACAGATAGCAGTGCCTGCCGCTACAAGGGATTGACTTTCACTCTTATAACACGCTTATAGATAAAAGTGTGGTAGTATTTCTCGAACCCGACACGCTAAATTATAGGTCAAGCACGGTCCCTATAAATTAGTTATAGTTAATCTGTGTAAATGTATGAAAGACGAGTAAGTTATTTCTTTTTGGGGCTGGTGTACGGTATAATGCCACCTTTGAACTTTTATTAATAAAAATTAATAGCTCATAAGATCCAAACATGAATATATATAGACATTTCAACCACACATCACAGCAACCATGGGACATTTTGAAATATAAGTTTGACTTTTTGATAAATATACGAATTATAAAGCAATAAAAACCACTAAGTAACATAACAATATAGTATGCCGTTATGTAGCCACCCGTAACGGCTAGCTTACAACTTATATTTCTTACATGACCGGCCTATATGTTACACAGATTGTGTTACTTAAGATTCATCGGTATCTCTTATGTTCTTACACTAACTAAGCTATTGTTTACTACAGAAAATTATTAGTTTGATAAAGAGGCGTGCATTCAACATCATTTAGATAAATTTCGTATCTTTGCATTCCATACATTATTCTATCTTATACATAAAAACTTACCTGCGTTCTATACAACTGTTTCAGATCCTACAGGCTAAAGCGCACAATGAAATCTAAGGTGCTTGCTATTTACCCTCTCGTGGACTCCGTAACTTACGAACAATTACCTTCTTCTTTAGATGTCAAATTCTCACAATAACAGTATTTGTATGAAAAAATCGATCTACAAAGAAATTACTTCAACAAGATAAACAAACACATAAGGAAACTCGTTAATTCTATATCTTTCCAAAGCACGCAAACAACACAAAACTGTTAATAGAACTATACTATACACCTGGAAAAAAGTTAAGCACCCCCAAATATTTTTCAGGATTGCTTATTGAAAATAAGGTTTAATTTTCATGATGTTGAGCAATGTTCATAATTTCAAACATAATTAAAAGGATGTGAGCGTTC